TGTGTGTGTGTGTGTGTGTGTGTGTGTGCGTGCGCGTGCGCTTCGCACGTGTACGTGTGCCTGTAGGGGGGTGAGGCGGTATTTAAATGTGGATAGTGGGTGTTCTTGCAATCGGTCAAGACAGCATGCTGTGCACGTGTGCGCGCGTGTGTGCATGCATTTGAGCGTGCGCGTGCGTGTCTGCACTTCCCGAACAATGGCGTTTTAAACCGTGTACCAAAACACAAAACTATGAAGCAACTTTTTAAAAACTTTTGGTATTGGAACAGTGGTCAATTCGTCTGTGGAATTCCATTCATCGAGTCGTTATGCAAATAGAGACAGTGAGATCGTTATGTGCTCGGCTCACTATTCGTATTTGTTTGTACATTAAACTTTATGTTTTTGTGTTAAGAATAATTTCAAATTAATGTCCTAATATTCAGACCATATTTATCTGCTGGTTTTGAGAGGTGCAGTTTATCACGATATAGACCAACTAGGGATTTTCAAGGGCTTAATCTAAGAAATTCCAGAAAAATAATATATAATCTAAACATTTTACGTGTACCTAATGTTCCAACAAGGAACTGTAGTCTCGCCTTAAGAATGAATCTTGTTCTCTTGTGCAGAGCATTATACATTTTCAGTGTAGTAAAAGTTTTACTGCACTTGCAGCGCCTTTTAATAATAGGTCATAAAAGTTCTAAAGAATAGAGATGCAACTCTCTCATTATATTTTGACAGACAGCATCGACAACCCCCCCCCCCTTTCAATCACACACACACACACACACACACACACACACACACACACTTGCACCTCCCTCACGTGTACACAAAGAACGGACTTCAACTCTTCATCCCCACCCTAGCGGATGGTTGGCTGTTGCTCGGGTGCTGTTTGCTCCTTCTTTCCTATCAAACATCTATCGTTCTTAATCTTCCCTCCTTCATTTTTGTGTTTGTTACTCTCTTGTAACACCTCTCATCTACGGATCTTATACGTCCTAATTGTATTGCACATGCTTTTTAACTCTTGATAAAACAAAATGTCTCCACCCCCCCCCCCTCACCTCCACCATTTTCCAACCGAACTAGTTATTCCTCTTTCCTTTTCTAACTTTCAGGTTGTCGCTGTGTGTGCATTTATTGCTCTGTGTTTTCCCAAGGCGACATTTATTTGTCTGTTTGTACGCTCCACGTAAGTAAATTAAAAAAAAAGAATTTAAGAAGAGAAAAGACAGCAAAGAGAAAACAAAACAAAGAAAGAGTACAAAAAGTACATGTATATAATATGTGTGCG